GTCTTTCGTGTATGCTTTTTAAACATGTTTTTGTCATTTTGAAAATATCAGATTGATGAGTTATTTAGATCTTCCAAACAGCTGACACACTTCATTGTACACATCAAAATATCACATTTGTTGATGTCACCATCAAGGCCATCAAAAAATCTTTAAGTATTGGGAAGCTATCAAGCTCATGGTGTAACAACAATTTCTCCAAAATTCCAATTTGACTTGAAAGTTCAAAATGTATCATTGACAGCAAATACTGTCTGTTTTATCCCTTAACATGACAAGTTCAGATAAGTTCACTTCCTTCATCTTTGAGAAAATGGTCTGCCAAATACCTAGGCACAGTAACCACAGTTTCCACCCATTTTTTTCACATAAAAAATAGTATTTCACAAAAAACCCAAGCTAGTTCCGGCTTGCAACTCAAAGACACCAATGATTCTCCTTGAAAGAATCATATTACAGCCTGCAGCTGAGTATTTTGTGCAGACTTCCCATTTTGACACACAGAATATTAAAAGGTACTTACATAGGGTCCAAATTTAATAAAATTGATCATTCTCAGTGCTTCATCAAAGATCAAGAACATTCTGAATTAAAAGTGGCATTGTTTTTACTATAAGATATTGACTGTTTCATAAAGGATCAAAGACATTTATAAATAAAAATGGGATTGTTTTTACTGCAAGATATGGCAGTAAAAATACAGTAACTCCTAGCACAGTTTGGTGCCAGCCCCTTTATTTGTGCAAAACCACTAGAAGTTTTACCCACCATTGTTTTTTCAACATCAGGGCAAATGTTGACACAATGAAAAAGGCAAATGATTATGAAAGCAGTTTTGACCGTGTGAATTCCATGAAAGAACCCTGCTAGAGTGATGCTACTCATGCTACTCAGTTACAATTTTTGTGGTTCACCACTTGCTCAAAAGATTCCAATGATCAAACTTTTAAACTGGAAATTTAAACTTATCATCATCTTACATTATTTGTCACTTTATATGCTTCTTCATGCAAACTGGCTCTAGACAAATGAAGCTGTTCCCATTGCTATTATAAACCTTGGGAGTTCACAGTTTCTTTCAAATGATTTTGCTGCTTCTTGAGCCTGAAGTGCCTCACCTTTTGCATACTTTATATGCAGGCTCTGCCTTGTTTTCAAGATCCAGCTCAAATGAGGCCTAGGTAGATATCACAGAACCCTGTGCTAAAAGGACACAGCACTTTCTGCCTCTCCCATGCCACTTACTCTTTACTCGGCAATAATATATCACATTGCCTGAAGCCAGCAGGACACCTTCCATACAGTTGGTACTCGGTGAACAACTCTTTGATAAAACAAGCATTTGGTTGCACTGAGCCATTTGTTTACGTGTTTTATGGTACCTACCATACGAGGTTATTGACTGAAGTTAGAGTTAATGTCTGTTCCCTGAATAAATTAGTATTCATTGGGAAGCTTACTGTGGTATAAGGTAATTCAGCTCACAATCTTGATCTCATTAACCAGTCTGTTCTCTTTAACATTCTCAGACTTGTATAAAGATCTACCAACCAACAGCATAAGGATCTTAAAACATTTTGAATTGTGTAAAAAAGTATTGATTTTTTAAAATTATGTCTGAGAGTTTGTTGAGACAATATTACCACTTAGTTGTTATCATTAACAACCAGTAAGTTACTCAAATAAAGAAATTGCTTCTAACTATGGTCTCTTACTATCTTCCTTCCGGTTTCAAACTTAAGTACTTTTTGAACCATAATGAAGTAGTATAGTGTGATTATGAAATACACATACCTAAATACACATACCTAAACTAATGTGACTATTTGAAACAAAAGCGAGCTACATATACTGTCTATAAATTGTATTAGCAACTAAATAAAGCTTGTCTTTGAAGGAATTTCATAAAGCTAGTTTCATTTCACAGAACACCTTGAGAAAATTTTAGAATATAAAAACAAAATGAAGTTTCAGGTCATTTTTCCATTCATCTGTCTAAATTGGGACACAATCAAACATATTTTGTCTTCAGTGATTATAGGTGTGGAAGAATGAGAAACATGTCTTATCTGGCAGGAGGTAGAATTGGTGCCTATTTTAGTATCCTTAAATCTTTGAGAAATGTGCATCTACTTTCTCAGTAAAATGGTATTTGTAATGGACATATTAAAGGACTTATGAATGAAAGTGAAAGCTTTCTATTATTACCAATCAAATCATTATTAATTGCAGGGGTCAATGAAATAAATGTATTCTAGTATAAGCAAGTATTAAGTCCCTGCCATGTTAAATCCATCAGCCTAGGGGACAGTCCTTCAGATTCTCACATCTGTTCTAGAGTCAAAATTCAGATGTAGATGCACGCTTCCTTCAATTTCAGTGACTTCACAAACTCTACCAAATAGCGCTTGCTCCACAATGAGCCATCACACTGACGACACTTCTGCTGAAATCTTCAGCAGCAGAATCACATACAGTCCAAAGAGATCTGGTCAGTGACGCTCTTACTACTACCACCTCCACTGCCTGTGACGTGGGTGCTGTGAGGTATACCTAAGGGTCAAGTGTGGTAGGGCATCTGGCTCCAGTCACTACCACCACAGTTGGATCAGATTTCACTGTGTCTGGGAGAGTTTTTCCCAGGTATTGGGGAGGGTGGAGGGTGATGAGTTTCTTTCCCTACTCAGTGTTCTACTCAGCCTAACCTACTCCGTGCCAATTGTTTCCAGTCACTCATATAGCCTCTTCCCTACAATACAAGCTTGTTTCCAGGAGAATTTGTTTGGGACCATTTCCCTTCTGTGCTGCTTCACAGACCTGGAGCTTCTGCCTTTTCTTTTTTTCGAGACAGGGTCTTACTCTGTTGCCCAGGTTGTAGTGCAATGGTCGATCTTGGCTCACTGCAACCTCCACCTCCCAGGTTCAAATGATTCCCCTGCCTCAGCCTCCCAAGTGGCTGGGAATAAAGGTGCCCACCACCACGTCCGGCTAATTTTTGTGTTTCTTAGTAGAGACGGGCTTTCACCAAGTTGGCCAGGCTGGTCTCAAACTCCTGACTTCAGGTGATTGGCCTGCCTCGGCCTTCCAAAGTGCTGGGATTACAGACGTGAGCCACTGCATCCAACTACTTTTAACATGTCAACCATTTGACTTAGTTCAGAGGCCACACCATGCCTCCTCTCTCTTTCTACCTCTGTGGTAGTTGTGCATCAAGAAACTCATTGATCAAAGTAACAACAGTTCTGCCCCACAGGTCCCATTCACTTTTGACTCATTTTCTGCAGTAGTCTTTAAACATACATTTCAACAACTTCTCACTCAGAGGGAAGGAAAAGATAAAATTCTGCAGTTCTTAGATACCTCCCATATAGAAATAGGAAATGTTAGTTTACTAAAGGCTGCTGACCTATTACAAAATCCATTAATCAATTCTGTGCTGAATTCACTGATATTATGTGCAAAGGTTTCCACCTCCACAAACTGTCCCATGTTTAATGATTAAATCAAGGAGGTATTATGTGGTAGTACTTTCCCCCCACAGATGTTACAGTTTAAGTCATTTTCTTTGTGTGTGTTTTTTTCCCCCAAGTTGTTACTTATTTTCATGAGGGGGGAAAAGAGAATCCTTTATGATAGTGAAAATATACTTTTTTAAAAATACAACAGCTGCCAGTAATATACTGGTGTAGATGTTCCAAAGAGAAAAGAAAATACATGCATTCTATAATAAACTTTTATTTGCCTGTTCAAGAAATTCTAAAGAAAATACTCCAATTCTATTCAACATTATGGCTTAAGGAGTTGAAATTTTTCCATGATAAAAATATAACTTGTCTGGCCCAAACCTTGACTATTTATAAATAGCATACCATGGCATGTCCCTTCAAGTTTTGGCATGTCATGGTATACTTTTAATGAGTCCACTTTGTTTTCTTTATTGATAAAGGATGGAAATTTTTAAAGTCCATATATATCAATAATGAATGCTCCCCTCTCTTTGAATTAAATGCTTAATTCAAATTAATGTAAGAAATTGGTGAATCATTAAATGATGAAATGTGTATCAAAATCTTCACGAAAACGTAAATTTCCATTTCCTCTCCACTTTCACTTTGTAGATATTTTCTAATTGGGTTTAAGTGCCCAGAAATAAATGCTATCTACATGCAACTCTGGAGAGGTTCGAAACACAACAGAAGTAAAATCAACATGCCTAAATCCTTGAACAATCTGTATATAATTAAGAGATTTCTGACATTTATTCTTACACTAAATTTAAGTCATTTTTCTGGCTGCGCACGGTGGCTGATGCCTGTAATCCCAGCACTTTGGGAGGCCAAGGCAGGCAGATCACGAGATCAGAAGTTTGAGAGCAGCCTGGCCAATATGGTAAAACCCTGTCTCTACGAAAAATACAAAAATGTGGTGGCATGTGCCTGTAGTCCCAGCTACTTGGGAGACTGAGGCAGAAGAATCACTTGAACCCAGGAGGCAGAGGCTTCAAGTGAGCAGAGATCATGCCACTGCACTCCAGCCTGGGTGACAGAGCAAGACCCCATCTCACAAAAAAAAAAAAAAAAAAAAAAAAGGCCATTTTGTAACAAGTGACAATTTCAGTTTTTGTTGAGAAAGTCCTGAATAATTTCAAAGTAAGGAGAAAGCAGATAGAATGAAATCAAAATAAAAATTACCAAATTAATCCAGTAGATACCCATCCCAAAGAAAGAATGTATATGCATGTCCCTTCAAGTTTCAACACGCCATGGTATACTTTTAATAAGTCCACTTTGTTTTCTCATATTATTTGATGGGAGTTCCACATGAATAGATTCCACAGACATTTATGAAATGGAATTGGGCAATGAATAGCTTCATCCATAGAGTTACTATAAGATGACACTGTTTGGTCTTCTCATCCTATGTGACTATAAAGTAATTTGTATTTCTTTTCTTTGAATGCCCTTTTTAGACTATTCATGTTTTTATTATGTTTTGCCTAGTTGGGTACACAATGAATGATCTCATTTTTGAATGGCAAGATGAGGCACCTGTACAAGTGGCAGAAGGACTCACTTTGCCCCAGTTTCTGTTGAAAGAAGAAAAAGACTTACGATACTGCACTAAACATTACAATACAGGTAGGGGTTGAGTAGTGTTCTTTACACTGACTGCTTGTGGTTTTATGATATCCAGACGTTTCTTCATTATAATGCTAAGTTATTTAACTCTTCTTAGATCATCGTTTTTCATAGGCATATAGCAGAATGTGGATGCATTTGAAACTTATCAATACTTTGATTCATTACATATTGTTAGATAATTGGTCTGTATCGACCAAAGTAATGCTTGGTGTTCAATTATCTTTAAATAAATTTTCAATGAAAAGCTCATGATTACATAGTAATAATGTTTCCAAAACTATTCCTTTAATTTCCGTGAGCAATAAAATATGTTTTTGACCTTTCTTGGACAGTAAACACTGTTTCCGCTAAAAAAAAAAAAGAAAAGCTTTGTTGCCTAACTTCTCCCTTTGTCATATTTTCATGCATTTCAGTGTTATTTTTACCTAAGCACCTACTATTCACACTAAGACACTTGAGATAAATATCAGATATAGTTATCAACACTAAGAATTTAGAGACTCAATGTGGTATCTGCACATCGGCAAAATCTGTTCAGTTGCTTTAATTAACATGGGCTATTTCCATAAGAAATATTCTAACTATACAGTTAGAATGTATGCATTCAGTTAGAAAGTAATGGAATTCAGATAATTCCATTCTCTGAATGGTTGAGGCATCATTCCATTGTGGTGACTACATGGCCTCGCACTAGCATCAGCTGCTGTTCTTATCATTTCATTACAGTAACTATGATTCATCGTGGACTCAGCATTTTCCAGAACTGTGCTCTGACCTTTCACTACACAAAGTCCCTAGTCTCTCTTATCTCCTTAGCAAATTCACAATATCTGATCAAAAAGTCACCACTGTTTTCCTTTTCACTCAGAGACGAAGCTGATATCTAACTTATTAGGGAGTTCAAGTTTAACATGTCCACACAAAGATTAAGAGCAGGCAAGTCAATGGCACCGTCCTTGCTCAGTTCCCTTAGACAGATGCTAAAACTCCCCTAGAGTTGACTTACGGAGGTATATTAGTTTCCTCGCGCTGCCGTAACAGCCTATCACAAACGGTGACTTAACAGAAGTGTGTTCTCTCACAGTTCTGGAGGCTAGGAATCCAGCATTCAAGGTGTCAGCAGGGCCATGCTTTCCCTCAAAGCTTTAGGGAAGAGTTTTTCCCTGTCTCTTCCTGACTACCTATTTCTGGAAAACCTTGTTTCTCAGCTTGCAGAGGCATCATTTCAGTCTCTGCCTCCAGAGTCACGTGGGATTCCCCCATGTGTCTGTGTTTCTGTGTCCAAATTTCCCTGTTTCTATAAGGACGTCAGTAATGTTGGATTTGGGACCCCCTCTTATCCAGGACAATTTCATTTTAACTTGATTGTATCTGCAAATCCTTTATTTTCAAGTCAGTTCACATTCACAGGTTCTGGGTGGACATGAATCTTAGGGAGATACTATTTAACCCAGAACAAGTGGTGAAGTTGTAAACATCAATTAGGGATGAAGTTTTATGACAGAGGGACTCGAGACGCTTCCTTAGTGTAAAGGAAGTTTGCATACTTCCTCGAGTTATCAAATGAGCTATTACAGCTTAAAAGAAAAGAACTTACATTTATGAATGCCTACCGTAAGCAAGGAATGGGACGTCTTGGGAGATATCATAGAGACCTTACAACTTTACATTCTAGAAGCACTGTACTGTCCAGAAGCAGAATAACTTGCCCAAATTACGTAGAGAATGAAAGCATCTCATAGAGTCCTCATTCAAGTATGTGGTTAATTTGCTTCAGATCCCAGACTCCATTTCATATTTGCTTTTACAATGCACAAGAATCTTCTTTTGTTTTCCAATAATAGGCCTAGATTCCACATATGTCTTTTATGTTACTTGTGAAAATACAACAAACAACAATATTAGGTTACTTAAGATCAAATTTATAAAATACCCTTTCCTCCCATAAAATGAAATACACTTAAGTTAAAAATGTTTTCATATACAAATTAATTGCACAAAATTAGAGGATTTATTCAGTTGTATTTTCACTCTCCCGAAGTATTTATTAGTTATATGCTATAGCATCCTGTTATCTGTCTCCTGCTAGTAATTTCTCCAAAATATTTTATCTCTCTTCCCCTTGCTCTGTAATACCTTGCCACAATGACTTGCTTGCTTATATACTCCAAACTCATCTCTGTCTGTCTCAGGGCCTTTGCTCTTGCTCTTCCTTCTGCATGTAAAGTTCTTCCCGAAATTGTTCCAGGTCTAATACTCCCACTTCCTTCAGGGTTATTCAAATGCCAACTCTTGAAACATCCATATGTCACAATAAGTGTTAAACGCCCAAATTCTGCTTTCACCATCTGAAATTGTATCATTCAATTTTATGTTTACTTATTTATTGCATATTTCTTTCACTGTCTTAAGTTTGTATTATGTTGATTCCGTTGATCACTATATTTCTGGCGTCTGCTGCTATGCATAAGTGATGGATTTTTTTGTCCAGCTTGTTCTTTTATCTCTTCAGATCCACATACACTAAGTATATTTATTTATATACAAGCAATGGTGTATATTTGTGTTCATGTGTATATCCCTTTATTTTCTTTCCCAGCAATATTATAAAAACATTTTTTAATTTTTATAGATCCATAATAGCTGTACATGTTTTTGGAGGTACATGTGATATTTTAATACAAACATGAAATCTGTAATGATCAAGTCTGGGTAACTGGGATATCTATCACCTCACATATTTATCAATTCTTTGTGCTGGAAACATTCCAAATCTTTTCTTCTTTCTATTTTGAAATGTGCAATAAATTATTGTTAACTGTAGTTTTCCTCATTATGCTATTGAACACTAGAACTTATTCATTCTAAGTGTATTTTTAAACCCACTCACCAACCTCTTCACCTGCCTTCTTCTCAGCGTCTCAAAACCACTATTCTCTTTACTACAACCATGAAGTCAATTATTTTAGCTCCCACATATGCATGAGAACATGTGATATTGTCTTTCTATGCCTGGCTTATCATCTAGTTCTATCCATGTTGCTGCAAATGATAGAATGCCATTCTTTTTTGTTTGAATACTATTCCATTGTGTATACATACTACATTTTCTTCATCCATTCTTCCACTGAGGGACATTTGGGTTGGTTCCCCATCTTAGCTATTGTGAATAGGGCTTCAGCAAACATGCAATGAACAGGTATCTCTTCAATACACTGATTTTCTTTTTTTTGGATATATTCCCAGTATTGCATATGGTATCTTTACTTTTACTTTTTAAAGGAACTCCTATACTCTTTTCTCTGGTAGCTGGACTAATCTGTATTCCCACCAATGGTGTACAAGTACACCCCTTTCTCCCCTTCCTCATCAACATTTGTTGTTTTCTGTCTTTCTGATAGTAGTTATTTTATTAGGGTGAGAGAATATCTTATTGGTTTTTTTTTTTGAGACAAAGTCTCACTCTGTTGCCCAGGCTGGAGTGCAGTGGCGCGATCTAGGCTCACTGCAAGCTCCGCCTCCCGGGTTCACGCCATTCTCCTGCCTCAGCCTTCCGAGTAGCTGGGATTACAGGTGCCCGGCTAATTTTTTTTTTGTATTTTTAGTAGAGACGGGGTTTCACTATGTTAGTGAGGATGGTCTTGATCTCCTGACCTCGTGATCCGCTCGCCTCGGCCTCCCAAAGTGCTGGGATTGTACTTATTGTAGTTTTGATTTGCATTTTTCTGATGATTAGTGATTCTGAACTTTGAAAAACACTCTTTTTAAATAAAAACACAATGGAGTTTATTTTTTTCCTTGAGAATCACCTGAATCAGTTATTCTTGTTTTATACCATTTCATTATTTTTCATAGAAAAATTTAAATCTTTATATTTATTATGTTTCAGGAATCTTTAGGCATTTTGTATATATTTGACAAATTGGTAAAAGGATCATGTATGGTTTGCACATATGTTTCTGATTACTATTCGCCTAAGAGTAGAACCTACGTTTCCCAGACTTTGTGAACTTTGTTGAGACTTAAGCTCTGGAAGCACATGCATGGGTTCATCCAGATATAGTGCCCTTGCCTCACCTGTGCAACCACACATGGCCCAAGTCCCTCGCACTGAGTCCTACCTAGCGATAGGACAGCAATTGCTCTTTAACATCTTTCTTTCATGATAACTAACAGAATGTTACTTAAAGAGCAGAATAACTTTCTGACCTCATCCTTCTTAAAATAATTCAAATAAAAACAATTAAACCAAGAACTTGGTGATTTAGAAGAACAATTTTTATAAAGGAGAGATAACATAGAGTAGTATAAATCAATATCAATAGAGTAGGGAGTAGAACAGGACACAAACAAAATATATCAACTTAATGTTTATTAAACCATCATTTACTCCTCCACGTATTGCTCACCAAAATAGAGGTAAATAATAGAGACACAAAAGCATACATATCTACTACAAATGGATCCCACTTGTTTTTGGTAAGTGTGTTTTTATTTTCAAAAGTATTAATGGGAAATAGCATATATTTTCCTACTTGTTTGCTTTATTATTCAAGGAATCATTCGTGTTCAATTGTATTTATCCTCTCACACTTACTTTAAAGAAAATGGAAAGGCTTCTGGAACAAATAGCACCTGGCTTTAAGGAAGCACTCAAAGCATCAGAAACAATGAGTAAAGAAGATCTTTATATAATAAGTATCTGTTTCTCCTGTCTGCCTCAGAAGCAATTGTCGTAATCAAGTGAAATAATAAATCTTTGGATATTTTGACAAGTGTAAAGCGCTTTTCAAGTCGGAAGTAATAAAGTTTACTGCTATTTCCTACAAGAGTACATTCTCTTACTACATTGCTTCTTGATGCTAACAGTGAGGAATCAATATGAGTCTCTTTTCATTATCATGGAAAGTTTTATGACAGGAACCTTATCAAAATGAAATTGTGAGGTCAGGAGCAGTGGCTCACACATGTGATCCCAATACTTTGGGAGGCTGAGGTGGCAGATGACCTGAGGTCAGGAATTCGACACCAGCCTGACCAACATGGTGAAACCACATCTCTACAAAACAAAAAGAATAAGCCAGGTTTGGTGGTGCATGCCTGTAATCCCAGCTACTGGGGAGACTGAGGCAGGAGAAAGTCTTGAACCCGGGGGCGCAGGCTATAGTGAGCTGAGATCAGTCCACTTCACTCCAGCCCGGGGGACAGAGTGAGACCCTGTCTCAAAAAAAAAAAAAAAGAAAGAAAAAGAAAAGAAATTGTGATATTTGATGCCATAACAAAGACCTATTTGTACTAATTGCTGTATTTACCTTACCACCAATTAGGAAAGTTTACATGTATAGAAGTGAGATTCCATCTGGAGCGACAAATGGGATACTATCTGATCCAGATGTACATTCCCAGTCTCCTGATCGTTATTCTATCCTGGGTTTCGTTCTGGATCAACATGGATGCGGCACCGGCCAGGGTAGCTCTGGGGATAACCACTGTGCTGACGATGACGACGCAGAGTTCAGGATCACGAGCTTCCTTGCCAAAGGTAAGTGCACCGAATGAGCACACATATCTTTGCACACACACTTATAATCTTGCAAAGATATCATTGTCAGCTTTGGTCAGATATTTTTTCAATGGCATTTCAATGGCATTACTGGTGTTCAAAGTAATGTATAACCAAAGCAGAAAACACGTAAAACAGAAATAAATGAAAAAAATTCTGCAAACCAGTGATATCCGCTATTCACATTTTGTATTATTATTCTCAATTGTTTAAATACCGATAATACTCGTATACACTATGGAATTATTTGTATCAATAGGTTTTGAAATATTTAGAAATATATTAAACATTTAAGTTGAATCTACATGGTAATTTTAAATGGTGGCATAGTACTCCATTGTATGGATATGCCATAATTTACTTAGTCACTCTTAGGACTGATATTATAATAAATATTTATATAATAAATGTTATATATATGAGTGTATATGTATATATGTGTGTGTGTACCTGTGTCTATACATATCACATATATCAACTATATTTATATATACACATTTTATGTAAACATGCATATATATCTATATATAGACACAAACACATACACACACACAGCTTTACACATATTTTTGTTATGTTCTTAGCATATATTCTTATAAACAGAATTGCTGCAATGATAGCTGTATGCATTCATATATATTGCCAAATTTATTTCCAGAAGACATATACCAATTATACTACAAGTATTTTATCAGAGTGCCCATAGTGCTGCATCCTGAGCCAAATATGGTATATATTATTTTTGTGGGTTTTTTTTCTCCCTTTTGCTTTTAAGTAACCGTAAGTCAATAGGAAGGAGACCTTATCTAATTCCACGATTTTCATCCATGCTGAGCTGCCAGAATTAAAATAAAATTGTTCCCTCTGTGAGGTTCGTAAAAGACCCAATATTGCTTTGCATAAGATATACTGAAATAAAACTCTTTTCATTTATTTAGCTGCATAGAAATAGAAAATTATTTTCTTCCCCTAAAATGATGTCTAAGAAGAAGTTTCTATCATCTAAATTAAGTAATTCTGCATAGCTTCCAAAAAGCTTTACTATTACTTTCATTGAAATGAAGTACTTCTGTGCAATAAAATCACATTAACTTTTTTTGTGTGCATTTGATGCTATCTTCTTGCCACACCAAGTAAATTATAAATCTATTGTCATGGCTCCCTTAGTCCTTTCTACTAATTCATTCCGTGATTCAATTTATTAGATTGAAATGCCTATATAAATAAAAATTGAAAATAGGATTTAATCATTAAAATATGATATTAACACGATCTGCCTCACTAAAATTTAATGGTTGTCTTTCAAAATAATGTCTACTTTTATTAGCAAGTAATTGTATTTTCAAAATTGTTCGCATCAACTAGTGTTTTCTAAAATATTGTTCATGTGAAAATTATAAATCTGTTTATAAATGTAAACTAGTAAGACTCAATACTTATTTACATAAGGATAAATGTTGCAACAGTAATATCTGGGTAATAGTGGATATTTCATGGTTAATTTGTAAAGGAAATCGCCAGTTTACTCACTGATCTTTATGAGCTAAACAGAAATGAAAGCTCATTTGTCTGTATGCTGTCAGTCAGAAAAAAGAGAATCTGTGGCTTCTACAAGACAGGACAGAAAGACGCTTATATACAGAGTAAGCTAGAATTGGGGCTGTATGGAAATGTGAGTAGAGGCTGCAGAGATAAAGCAAGCAATAAATTAAAAACGCAGAATTGAGGTACAACTTTAAAAAAAGAAGAATGACTAGGACTGCTTCATAGTTTTTTCTCAAGAAATAGGAAATATTTTTAAAAGGCTTTAATTTCCACAAGACCTTAGAGAAGAAATAAATTTTCCGCCATGAGTTCAACTACACACGTACACGTGTACAAAACCTCTCCATCTCTCTGATCATAGAGACAATGACACCTAAAAACGTGATGACAGTTGTGACTCTGACCCACAAAAAGAATTGATTGAGAAAGTGATACCTTAAAAGAAGTTGATTGTATCATCTTAGAATTCACGATAAGTCAGGAATAAAAGGTTTCAGGATAAGTCAGGAATAAAAGCTTTAGCATAATGAATTACTTACATTCAATTTTAGCAGGGCAGACCCCAAGGACCCAGGATAAACAACAAGAATTAATCTGTTGGATGAGACATTCAAAAGAGTAGAAAATCTCTTTAAAAATGCAATTCTGATTCTGTGACTTTATCGGGCCAGAGAGACAGGAGGTGAGGGCGTTACAACTTGCGTTTAGAAGCACATGTGTGAGACCATGCACCTTAAGATCTTCTGCTCTCAGTCTCACAAAAGAACCCTCAGAAGTCTGAAAGTCTTGCCACTAAATCACCCAGAATTTACCTACTGACAGTTTCTAGGAAGTAGGAACACAAAGTAACATTCAGGAAAACTGACTATCAAACATCGGAGAGTGAAACAATAAATCATTAATTTGTGATCTTTGCCTAGTGTTTTGTCTAGGCTCTGTGTCAATGCATCTCCTGTAAGATAAGAACGAGCTTAGAAATTGCTTAAGTAAGACTCAGAGAATGAAATCTCAAAGAATGTACTATAGCCAGCTTCTAGAGAACTACAGAGCTGATATTTCTCTCTGATATTTTCTATTGCGTCAGCCTCTACAATGTCATGATAAATCAAGCATGTAGTCTCTCAAAGCAAGAACACGCCTGTGACTGATTCCTTGAAACTTGAACTCTTTCACATTTTTGCAGTGTCTGTATCAGGTGGCCATAAGAAGGTGATACACGCATTCTATTCCAAGCAAATTTTCAAGGTTGTGTAACTTTAGGAGCGCTTTCTTACACCGTGTGCTTGGGGCAGAGTGAGATAAGATGGCGATGACCATGGCGCCTATCAAGGAAGACTTCATAGGACTTCATAATGATTGGGTTTAATTTGGGCGCAGCAATGGGCCACTGATGAATTTTAATAAGGGGAGCAATTACACTGACTTCTGTGTGAAGACCAGATAGAAGAGGTAGAGTGGGAGCAAGGAGTCCACCAAGCAAGCTTTTGTGGTCCACAGCAGATGATGGTCTGGCAAGATTGGTAGCAACAGAGATAGAGAGTAGCAGATGGCTTTAGAAAGAAGTAAATGTTTTTGAAAAAATAGATTTGGAGGTAAAACAGACAGGATTTGCTTATGAATTGAGCACGGAAGATTCAGAGAAATGCAGGAGTGGCATTCAGGTAAGTAACTAGGCAAGTAGAGATGATAGTTACTAATAGGGAAGGTTGAGGGAAAGGTTAATTGTGAGTTCTTTTCTAAAACATGTTAACTTGGACACATTTACAAGACAATCACATGGAATTGTCAAAAACTAAGAACTTCCAAAGTTCTGACCAACAACACCCAGCCCTCAGACTTTAGGGAATAAACTACAAATGAATTGAGAAGTGGACTAGAGGTGATTTTTCTGGTGGAAGAAAGCCTGGAAAGACAGGCAAAGAAGATGTATTTGTGCTTGGCCTTCTTCCTACAGCTGAATATCTTCTCTCTCTGTTCCTCCCCCAGGGCTAGCCCTACCAATACACAGAATATATTAGATAGTTTGGTTAAAGGCAAGATCCACTCACCCCAGAACTTTACTCCTGAATTCTTTGAGATCTCAGCATTCTGTAATCTTTTTTTAGATATGGAAAGCTAGTCCTCCTTAGGAGGATTCATTCGTCAGGGGTGAAAGAGGGGATAGTAATAATATTTCAATTATTTTTTAGTATAAGTGTAATTTCAATATTCAGTTAAGACCTTGGCAGTGAAGGAATTAAGTATAGGGATGGGTAAGAATAGAGAAAATCAGTAGAAGAGACAAAACATAATTTTAATTTGTAAACACTGAGTACTAGAAGGAATCCACATTAGGGAACTTTGGAGAAATCTTGGCTATACAGCAATATTATATACATCTTACCCTTTCTTTTATGATTTCAACAATCAATTAATTCCTGTTAGAGATCTACCCTCATCATTTTTTTTCCCATCCTGTTTTATAGAGACTGGCTAAGGACCAGGTCTGGTGCATGTTTTATGTTTCATATCATCTGCAGAAGTACCCAAGTGTCACTATGCATACCTTATTTTAGTCTTTTAAACTTATTGTCATATCAGAGATTTTTGAACATAGTATGTCAGACAGGTGCACACACACACACACAGACACACTATGCACAATGCACACATTCACGTACGCAGATAGAAATTTGGCAGGGTAGGGAATCTCTAGATTCAACTTTATCCAAACCCTAGCTCTTAACACAATATATTAATATTATGACATTCTTGGCACTTGGGGCTGATGATCCAGTTGCATCACAATTATTCTGCATAACAACTCCCAAATCTCAATGGTTTACAACATTTCTTCTTGCTCACAGGACTGCAAGGTGCCTGTGTCTCTTCTGGGCTTGCCCTGAGATTGACTGTTCAAGTGAGCATGGATCTAGGCTGTGGAGTGGGTCTCAGATCTGCTCCCTGTGTCTCCTCATTTTGGGGCTGCAGGGACCTGTAAGATGTTCTTTCCATGGAGGAGTGCTGGAGAGCAAGAAGGCAAGCAGAAACATGCAAGCTTTTGCTCAGAATTGACACACAGTCACTTCTGTTCTCATTCCATAAATTACACCAAGTCTCATGGCCAAACTGAAAGTCAGGGGGTGGAAGAGTGTGCTCCACCCACAGGGAAGCGTTGGAGCGGAAGAAGGGAAAAAGGAATTGTAAATAATCTTATCTACCTCGGGGCAATTATTTGTTTAAGTTTTCTGTCTCCTTTCTTAGACCACACTCTGGCTTGTCAGTAAATGCTCAGAAAAACAAGACGGGAGGAAGGGATAGGAAAGAAGTAGAGAATAATCCCAGGGAGATTCTATGTGGATTTCTCTGCTCCCATCACTATGGCCATCTCATTGAAAACAGAGCTACTAAGCATTAAAAAAAAGAGGAGCACTTGAAATTTCAAATATGGCTTT